ATTATAAATATATGATTCGTATGCACGTGAGGATTGTGTGGATATTAAAAAACCCCTTTTCGAATGCACGAATACATCAACGAAGCACGTCTCATTCCCTGAGTAGTGTGGTATATCGGGAAACTATGGCAAGTCAATTGCTTACGCTATAGCTATCACACAATTGTAGACACTTCGGCATGAATATAGCCTTCAATAGTTAGGTCTCAAACTAAGTGAAATGAATAAATTGAGAGTTTGTGAATGTATACTAAACGAGCATGAATTCATTAGTATATTTAGCCTTCATACTCCAAGCGATGAAGGCATTGAGAGGGTGCATACTTGCTATAGCATACGAATATCATACCATGACCCCTATTTTATCGTACTATAAGCCCTATGTCGTACATATATTCTTATATATTACATACTATATCATACCTATATCACACCATGTCCCCTATTTTTCGTATCATACACTCCTCTGTCATGCCATATACTTAATCTTATCCATTACTCATTATATCGTACTTGTACCATACCATGTCCCCTATTTTATCGGATCATAAACTCTATGTCTTGCCATATACTTAATCTTATCCATCACTCACTATATCATACTTGTATCATACCATAACCCTTATTTTATCGTATCATAAACCCTATGTCATGCCTTATACTGTTATCTAATATTCACTATATCATACCTGTATCATACCACGACCCTTGTTCTATCGTATCATAAACCCTGTCATGCCATATACTCTTATGTAGCTAAAACTTACTATATCATACCTATATCACACCATGACCTCTGTTTCATCGGATCACAATCCCTGTCATTTCATATACTCTGATATCGTACTTACCACAGACACCCGAAGTGTTGTACGTGCCACTGGCAGAAGTCGCCCAGCGCAAGTTCCGCAAAGAACATACGCCAAGAGACAGGCCACAAGGTTACCCAATCCCAAACAGCACCTCATATGCGAAACAAACGCACACATATCAAAGATACTGCACGCACACAGGTGGATGGGGTTAGGCAAACGGGTGAAACGCGGCAGACTTCGCTGTACAGGTGCGCTACGATTTTTTACATGTTCAGTTAGATGTCTGTCTTATATATATATATATATATGTGTGTGTGTGTGTTATTTATATATATATAGGTATATAGGTAAATATATGCAATTATATATATATGTATATGTGTGTGTGTATATAATATATAATATATGTATAAATATATATATATATATATATATATATATATGTATATATATACATATATATAGTATATATATATATATATATGTATGTATATATGTATGTATGTACATATATTCATGTATGTATATATAGATATATATATATATATATATCATGCATGTATGTATGGAGTATATGTATATATATATGTGTGTGTATGTATGTATGTATGTATGTATGTATTGATGTGTATGTCTCGAGATATATATATATATATGCGTGTGTGTGTGTGTGTGTGTGTACGTATATCATCCGCTGTGATATTAGCAACAGCTCGTTGTGATGGATATGTAGGTTCTAAATTGAGATAAGTCAATCAAGTGTGCAATATGAATATTGTGGATCGTTGTGTTTAGCTCACATACGGCAAGGACATTACACAAGCATACCCGGCTACTGCGAAGTATCAAAGTCGGGTGTATATGTGTTGTTTTTTTTGAGAAATAAATTTCGCATATCGTTCATAGTTCAAGTTTTGTGAATGTGGAAATACCCTCTCTCACATCTACACGACAATATACACGAACGCGTACACACACACACACCCCTACGCAGCAACAACTCACCCACTCGCTCACTCACGTATACAAACATACACACGCTCGTACATACACATACATACACAACGACAGTAACTATCAAGGCAAGCTAGTAGACATATTGGCACTGCGGAATGGATACTGCACTACGCGCCAGCCGAGCATGGAGCAACCAGGCTCGATAGCAGAATCACTAAATACGACAACAACGTCGGACAATACGACAACAAAGTCAGTCAATACGACAACAAAAGCCAGCGGTCCAACATTGCAGACGAAGGGCAAGTCGAAAAACACGATAACGGGAGAGGTGGTTTGGAATACGATCACCAAACGAAGTCCCGCGAAAGATGAGCCATATCCGACAGAAGATGGGCAAAATCAGAAAAGCGAGCAAAGGGAAAGAGAGGGGCAGAGTGGCCCGTTGGCGGAGTTTCAGCGAACGGTGCAACAGCAACTGTGCATGCAGCACTGTGCCATTACACCACACGACGTCGCATTGTTCTCGATGGCATGCCCTGGTCCAGGTATACCTGCACACAGCAGTATATATATATATATATATATATTCAAACATAAATACCTTTGTATGTATGGATATGTATGTATGTGTGTGTGTGTGTATGTATGTATGTATGTATGTATGTATATATATATATATATATATATATATATATAATTTTATTTTTATATGTTTATGTTTATGTTTATGTATATGTATATATATATTATTATATTATCATATTTTTATATTATTATATTATATGTTTATATGTATATATATATTATTATATATATGTGTATGTATATGTATATGTACTTTAGACTTATTTTTTTCTTGACACCATTGCTGGATCGTCGCCTGTTCCTTGCATCCGCTATTGTATTGTATCATTGACAACCTATAGCTCCTTGCGACCCTTTATTGATATTTGTCTATCATATCCCACTGCGTCCTAGGTGTGGTGAGTTTGTATGAGAAACAGTTAGCAGGCGAGGATGCAACCCGCCCCAAAATGCGTGAACACGCCAGGTAAGTGAGTGGTTCGATTGGCTCCATCTATTGATATATTGTAGTGACATTCGAATGTTGCCAAATTATCATGTTCTTCTGGATATTTCACTACGAATATCAAATTTTACTACGAGTATTGTATAGTTTACTACGTAATATAAGTTTCAATGTGAACTTCGCCAATTGACCTTTCCGGGTAACCAGCTGTGTATGTGTACTCTCAATTCTGTTCTTCAGCTCTATATCTATATCTATATATATATATATATATATATATATATATACTACTATACTATATATATATATATATATATATATATATATATATATATAGTCTATCTCTCTATCTGTCTTTCTATCTCGCTACCTTACTGACCTTTTGTTTGACTGTCTTGCTGTCTTCTTTGTTTTTCACATTAACACATTACACTCATATTTGCAGTGGAAGCGCACGCACTGAAGGGTATTACACGTACTCGCGCAAGGAAAAGCAGGCCAACATGGACCTTATTCATATCCCTAAGATGCGCGAAGCCGCCCGCAGAGCTAATGCAGGTATATATACACTGCGCTAGAACATGTTACACTCAAATATCCGTTGAAGTACAAGTTCATAAAACCATACTATACTTACGTATCAGTTTGTGCAACCATACTGTACTTGGTCATTCCTTCGTACAATCATAACTATATTATAGTTGTGTATCAGTCCGATACTCTACGATTGTATTGTAGTTTCGTATCCCTTCATTGTTCAATATCCTTTTTGTAGATAGTGTATATATTCCGTCCATTGCATCTGTCGTGTTACGTGATCGATAGATATATGTTTATAGTCTAATTCGGGGTATTGTTTCTACATAGAGCCTTTTGGACTGTGTGTTGACACACTGCTAATTATGTATATATATATATATATTTATATATATATATATATAATTTGTCGCTGGAAATACTCTGTGCTGGTGCAGAATACCATATATATATATATATATATATATATATATATATAGTAGTAGGTATATGTATATATATATATATTGTCGCTGGAAATACTCTGTGTCGGTGCAGAATATCTGACAAGATCCGAAATATATATATATATATATATATATATAATGTAGGTATATGTATATATATTTATATATATGTCCATATGTATGTATGTTTGTATGTATGTATATATATATATTTATATATATATATGTACATATATATGAATATGTATATATATATGTATGTATATATATATATATTTATATATGTATATGTATATGTATATATATATATATTGTCGCTGGAAATACTCTGTGTCGGTGCAGAATATCTGACAAGATCCGAAATAGTTGCATATACTAGAGCTCATATTGAGGCCCGATCTCGAAGCTGTATTATCCGACAATTTCTTGCTTGTGTATTATATTTTAATATCTGAAAGCTGTCGTATTTATAGTAGGTACCTATCCGTACCAGCCTTGCATCACCGCGCCAGATGTTGTAAAAGGGTCAAAATTAGCGGTCCGTACAATGTCTTGTCCACGGACTATGTGTTCTATCTATATTCCTCAGTACACAGGGCAGCTGTCGGCATACACATTCTCGCAGTTTGAGTTTTTCATTCTGTTTATTCTACTAAAACTACTTCATTGGGCCTTTCTACACAGCACCGGGGTCGGTCAAAGGTTCACAGCGAGCACACCGTGCCAAGTCAAGGTGAGTATCCTATGACACCGCAATGTTATTCAAAACATTGTGGCTGACTAGATATACATTACATATACATATATATATATATATATATATCTGTATATGTGTATATTAATATGTATATCAATATGTACAATTTGTTTGCTCTTCCAAACCCTACTGAGAGGTTTTTTATGCAAGCACACGACCTGAAAACTGTAGTTCGTTACAAGTATAATAATCCTTTCACCATATTTGAGAAAAAGGACAAACTTGGGAGATTAATGCCTCTACTTTGAAACATGAACACCACACACATAAAACATAGAAATACACAATATAGAAAATAGACGATCCTTGATTTGACTTCGTACACAAAGCATCTTCACTCTGAACACGCCCCTACACCTAAGACATATATCGTAAACCTCCCTAAAACCAAATTCATGCTGAATCACTGTAGGAACCACACGACGTTTGGGGAAGAGGCGAGCACGCAGCAGATCAACGATTTGGGCAAACGACACAAACGACTTAAATTCGCAAAGTCACTAATTCACAGTCAGGGCCTATATGCACTGGAGAACATCCGTAAGTGGCAAATGCGAGTATGCATAAGATTGTTTTTATTCCGTCGCTTGATTTTTATCTTATGTGTTTTATTGGCAAGCACACTTGCATGCATATGCAACCTTGTGATTGATTACCTGGGCAAAGTAGTGCAGGCACATGGGGCAGCTCCATGCGAGGAAGACTGCAAGCGTGCCTATACTAAAGTTTGATTATTCCGTAACGTGCTTAATTAACATGCTTATTGTGTCATCACACATACACCAACCGCCAATTGATTCTATTCGAGTATCTGAGCGATTTAGCCTATAAAAAAATTAGTCATGCAACCTTGTGATTGATTACCTGGGCAAAGTAGTGCAGGCACATGGGGCAGCTCCATGCGAGGAAGACTGCAAGCGTGCCTATACTAAAGTTTGATTATTCCGTAACGTGCTTAATTAACATGCTTATTGTGTCATCACACATACACCAACCGCCAATTGATTCTATTCGAGTATCTGAGCGATTTAGCCTATAAAAAAATTAGTGTAGCGCACGCACAAGTGACTGAGACACGCGAGGAAAAATATGTTCTATTCTACTATTTGATTTTTCCTTCACCTACGTGTTTTCCCACGTGCTTATTTCGTCATTTTATAATCATATGCAGCGGCCAATGACTTCGTGATAGAGTATCTGGGCGAAGTAGTGCGTGCACAAGTGGCGGAAACACGCGAGAAAGAGTACGAACGTAACGGTATGGGAAGCAGTTATCTGTTCCGAATAGACGATCAGAATGTCATCGACGCCACCACGCAGGGCAACATGTCACGGTTCATCAACCACCGCTGCGATGTAAGTGGAAAATAATATATAAATGTGTGTGTGTGTGTGTGTGTGTGTGTGTGTGTGTGTGTGTTCTATGTATCTATATATATACATATATATTAATCTATATATATATATATATATATATATATATTAATCTATATATATCTATATCTATATCTATTTTATAAGTATATATGTTTAAATTCATGTTAATCTATTTGGATCTATATATATATATATGTAAACATATATATAAAGGCTGTTCAATGTGTGTAGGCACGAAATATTAGTACGCGTGGGTGTTCAAAGTAGTTACTTGCACACGCGTACACATGAACTACATACACTGAAATATGCCTTCATATGCACCAAGCAGACTTTTATATATACACTGAAGCCTATTCAAGTATACACGAAATGATACTTGTATACTAAACCACACTCAAGTGTGCACTGAATCGTACTCACATACGCACTGCAGCCCAACTGTGTGGCAAAGATCATCAAAGTCACGGGACAGCAACGAATCGCCATCTACGCCAAGGACAACATCGCAGTAGGGGAGGAGATCACCTACAACTACAACTTCCCGGAGGAGGTATATGTGTAGTGTGTCTGGCATCACTTTAACTCACGAGTATTTTCTAACCAAGATTGGCTCATTTTGCTTATTTGGTCCGTCGTATGTCCTGCCGAAATTGTTTTCTAGTCTAGATTAAGGTTTAGAATTAGATGTCTATTCTTCTTTCCGTTCGCTATGTCTTGTACTCGAGGTGTCTATCCGCCGTAGACTAACTTCTCATTGTCCTTGGCCGCCACTTATCTTTATACAAAGGATTATAACTTGCTAACATGCCACTCTTTTGCGAATCATTTACCTCCTCACATCCATTGACATTCTCAGGAGGATAAGATCCCTTGTCTGTGTGGGTCAGTAAACTGCCGCGGATTCCTTAATTAATTAGTGGTGATCAATTGATTGATGATTCATTAATTAGAATACATTGATTAAATTATATAATTTATTAACTATTTAAAATTATTCAATCAATTTAATATATATGTATGTATGTATGTATGTATGTATGTATGGATGGATGGATGTATGGATGTATACATACAATATATTTATATTTATATTTATATATATATATATATATATATATATATATATGTATGTATATATAGTAATATATATATATATTATATATATATATATATATATATATATATATATATTATATATATATATATATATATATATATATATATATATATATTATATATATATATATATATATATATATTATACCATCATCTATGTGCACATCTGTATAGCTACAAGGTCAATTCATCGCACCAATCCTAGCAATAATCGCAAACTTAAGATAGTATTGATTGATATGCTGTGTATGCCGACACCATCCAACGATATCCGGGTTTTTGGGTTGCCTGTTATATGTTTTAGGGTTTATGTACAGCATTGATCGTTTGTGTTGCATATCAGGCACAAGCTCTCAACAGTACGTATGGCTGAGTGAGAAATCTGCTTCAAACCATACAATAACATCACTGTACTCAGTTCAACTGCGCATAGATCTGGGGGTGCTGCCTGAAACGCACACAGCTTACGATATGTCATACGAACAATCGAATACGGCATGTAACTACTATATGGTACACAGGAGATGATGCTCTGGAAGGGGTCTATGTCATACGAACAATCAAATACGGCATGTGACGACAACACTGTTCCAAAAGGCGCAACGAACAGACATATACACGCATTTGAGTTCAAAGGACTGAACGTACTTTTAAACATGCTTAAGCGTAACTAGGTTCAAGTCAGTTAGATTATCAAGATTTTTATTATGATTATGCCAGTTCTTGGTACTTCACTTCGGTTTGTGTTCCCACCGACGGCATAATACGCTTCTCTACTAACACTAAACTTCCTATTCCTATGCCGACCCGTACTTCCCTGTGTGTGAGCTGCCCAGCAATGGGGCTCGCTCACTGGACTCATGCTGATCCTTGTGTGTAGGTATACTCGTACTATTACTAGTACTAGTACTTCGGGTATCGGTGGAGGGTATGAGTGTGGGGGGGGTGTACCAGTTCAGCAGCAGTGACGAACAGACCACCGTCACACTAGAGGCGGCCATTGACCCAGCACACACCCACGCGGGCAGCATGACACCAACGGGAAATAGCACGCCTGCCAGAACGGGTGGGTGGAAGGAGAGTGAGTGTAAGCATGGGGCTATGTGCAAGGGTACAGGGGTGGAGATGAGTATGGACATGTGTGCATTATGGATAGCTATGACAAGAGCACGAGTATGGAGACAAGTATGCAGGTGTGTACACCATGATTAGGTATAAATAGTATAAGTATGGAGATGAGTACATAGATATACACACCATAGGCTATGAATAGTAAGATATATACACCATAAGCTGTGAATAGTAAGATATATACACCATAAGCTATGAACAGTATGGGATGAGTACGTAGATATATACACCATAAGCTATGAATAGTAATATATACACAACAAGCTATGAATAGTATGGAGACGAGTACGTAGATATATACACCATAAGCTATGAATAGTATGGAGATGAGTACGTAGATACATACACCATAAGCTATGAATAGTAAGATATATACACAACAAGCTATGAATAGTATGGAGATGAGTACGTAGATATATACACCATATGCTATGAATAGTAAGATATATAAACAACAAGCTATGAATAGTATGGAGATGAGTACGTAGATATACACACCATAGGCTATGAATAGTAAGATATAGACACCATAAGCTGTGAATAGTAAGATATATACACCATCAGCTATGAATAGTATGGAGATGAGTACGTAGATATATACACCATAAGCTATGAATAGTAAGATATATACACAACAAGCTATGAATAGTAAGATATATACACAACAAGCTATGAATAGTAAGATATATACACAACAAGCTATGAATAGTATGGAGATGAGTACGTAGATATATACACCATAAGGTATGAATAGTAAGATATATAAACAACAAGCTATGAATAGTATGGAGATGAGTACGTAGATATACACACCATAGGCTATGAACAGTAAGATATAGACACCATAAGCTGTGAATAGTAAGATATATACACCATCAGCTATGAATAGTATGGAAATGAGTAAGTAGATATATATACACAACAAGTTATGAATAGTATGGAGATGAGTACGTAGATATATATACCATAAGCTATGAATAGTATGGAGCTGAGTACGTAGATATATACATCATAAGTAGCGATGAATGCGCCCGTACACAGAAAACAGTACACTCGCGAGAAACATCCGAATTGGCTGTGTGCGAGACGAGTCACGAGTCATGAGCGAGTTTTAGGGTTTTGGGTTAAACCCTAAACCTAAAGCATTAAGAACCCTGAAACCCTACAGCGACAAGTGAGAATGTATGGCGTGTGGGCGGGTCAGTATGAAAGGTCTACCGGGGAGACTAAGGCCCAGCAGGAAGCACGTCCTCAGGCGAAGAAGACGTGTGTGCACTTAAAACCATTGGAGCATAACAGTAGAGATGCCTCATACAACTAGTAGGTATGATGACTAATACAATCGGTGAGTGTGAACATAAAACATACCCGCCGCAAAAGGGATGGCCAGAATGTTGTACGCGAATGCCCATATAAGGTTCATTATAATTCGGCGGTACGTCTTCCGCGAGATGTCTATAGCCGTGACCACATCTCTAATATCTGATTTCACCAACACCACATCCGCCGTTTCTATGGCAACGTCTGACCCGGCGCCCATCGCAATGCCCACATCAGCCTTTAAGATGGCAAAAAAATTTAAAAAAGTTGGTAGACAGGTTGTACAGAGTTTGTATATATGTATATATGTAAAAAGGGTTTAGACAAGACTTATGTAGTGATATTCTAAGGCTCGTCCGATAGAGGTATATAATGAAATTAATAAATGCAAAACACTGATCTATGCGGGAAGTACATAATGATGGAATCAGATATAGTACGAAAGCGGTACGAGTTTGCTTACAGTGAAAAGTGGTGGCTCTGCAGAAGTATGTGCAACTGCGTACATATACACATATGCATGTACATGTACATTTACATATACATAAATATATACATATACATATACATATACATATACATATACATATACATATACATATACATATACATATACATATACATATACATATACATATGCATAACATATACATGTACATATACATGTACATATACATTTACATATACATATAAAGCTACACATACATATACATATACATAGACATATACATATACATATACATATACATATACATATATATACATATATATACATATATATATCAATATAAATATAAATACACATACACATATACATATATACACATATACCTATTATACATCTATATACCAGATCATACTAAACCTACCTGCGCCAGAGCCACACTGTCGTTGACACCGTCGCCCACCATTGCGACGGTCAAGCCTTCGGCCTGTAATTCACTAACCTTCTCTCCCTTTTCTCCTGGGAGGACCTCTGCGAAAACCTGGTTTGCGGTAGAATAAACGTGATTTCAAGCACTGGGATGAGCACGACTGCGGAACGATGCAGATGTCGATATAGGTCAATAGAATACATGGATAGGCCATTGTATACACAAACAAGTTTTTACATCGACACCAACAACAACGAAGCTGGACAGAATTCCTAGCACAGCAACCCCTCACTCGAGGGACTGAAGCAGCTCAGCTGTGAGGTACATACGATTTGGTGTCACGCATGTGACGGGTACTACGTGCCCGTACACACGCTCACATTGGTATATATAGTTGATGGGCGATGGTAAGCTCTGTGTGTCTGTGATTGACTCGCGCCATCTAGTGGGTATAGCCACATGGGCAGTGGGGCAGATACAATAGGCATACATAGAAACAACAGGATGTATGTACATGGGAACATATACATGTGTGTCTATAACACTTACATACATAAGTGCGTCTATAACACTTACATACACAAGTGCGTCTATATAACACTTGCATATCAAATGTCCGTACATGCACGCATACACACACGCACTCGCCTTGCGGATGCACAGCAGTGGCACTATGGCCTATGCGGTACGTCAACGGTTCAAAGACACCGTGCATCAGAACAAGGTACAGACACTACACAGATATAACGACATATCCGAACAACGGTACAGACACTACACAGATATAACGACATATCCGAACAACGGTACAGACACTACACAGATATAACGACATATCCGAACAACGGTACAGACACTACACAGATATAACGACATATCCGAACAACGGTACAGACACTACACAGATATAATAACATATCCGAACAACGGTACAGACACACAACAGATATAACGACATATCCGAACAACAGTACAGACACTACACAGATATAACGACATATCCGAACAACCGTACAGATACTACACAAATATAACGACATATCCGAACAACGGCACAGACACTACACAGATATAACGACATATCCGAACAACGGTACAGACACTCCACAGATATAACGACATATCCGAACAACGGTACAGACACTACACAGATATAACGACATATCCGAACAACGGTACAGACACTCCACAGATATAACGACATATCCGAACAACGGTACAGACACTACACAGATATAACGACATATGCACATCCCTCGGTTGATAAGTACCACGCTCCCATATGAATAGACACCACCACATACCATATGTACATACACATAGTACATGTATACATACGTATACGATATATACATACACATAGCATATATACATACACCTATGATATATACATACACATACGATATATACATACACATACAATATATACATACACATGGTATATATACATACACAAACGATACATACATACACCTAGCATATATACGTTTACACACGCACTAACCTTGCGTATGCCCAGTTGTTGAGCAATGGCGTGTGCGGTGCGTCTGTGATCGCCTGTGACCATCCACGGCTCAATGCCACGCGACACCAACTCACGCACAACAAGCTCACTCTCAGGACGTACACTGTCAGCAATCCCTGACAATGTAATCCATTGCAAGGTAACAGGGGTTAAGGTGTGGGGTATAGGCTTATAACAAGCTCACTCTCAGCACGAACACTGTCAGCAATTCCTAATAATGTAACCCATTGCAATGTGACAGGGGTGGGGAGGCTAGGAGTTACCATTTCATGACGTACGCTATCGGCAACTTCTCATATGAAATATGAACACATATCGTGACAAGGGAGATCGCATGGCGTTTTGGGTTTATAACACGCCCACACTCTCAAAACGAACTGTATTGAGAAAACAGGACCGATAAGCGCAATATGAGGCGAACCATGGGGCGGCATGTCCAGTAGATATCTCGATATGTTCTAACATATCGATACAAGTATGTAACTACATACGCGTTTTAACATATCTATACAAGTATGTAACTACATACACCTATCCGTTACGCACCATGTTTTAACCTATCAATACAAGTATGTAACTACATACACGTTTTAACATATCTATACAAGTATGTACCTACATACACGTTTTATCACATCTGTACAAGTATGCAACTACATACACGTTTTAACCTATCCATACAAGTATGTGCCTCCACACACCTACCCGTTAAGCACCAGAGCGTACCCTCCTGTCCGTCTCCATCGCCCAGCACACCAAACAGTGTGGCGGTGACACCCATTTCTTCCAATCGCACCATGTCACTCTCAGCCTCCGAGGCATCTATGGCATTTTCGGCCATCCATCTGCGGTTGCCAGCAACTACCTGAAGTGTGCGCGTGCCCACACCCTGCATTCCAGGAGTATATGCGATATTTGAATTTGAAACATTTCGTTTACTAGATAACGTGTAATGTATACACTTCTCAGTGCTTACTATTTAACCCTGGTACGGCGGGTGTGGACCTCAATGTGTACAAAATCAGACGTACAAACGTATGTGGCACACCCACACCCACGCAGAATGGGACTATCCACGGACACACGCACACACCTTAGAATCAGGAATGGTCACGGTACATTTCAGGCCCTTCCCAGGCTCAGCTGAGAACTCGTCGCACGCACCGAACTTTATCGCATCCCCATTCTTGCCACCAATTTTTTTTTCGCAGTACTGTGGAAGCCAAATAAAATAATCCGTGGGTCCACAAAAGGTGGTACTTATACATTCGTGTGCGAACTAATAATAGTGCAATAAAT